GTGGCTGGTGCAGTCCAGCTATGTACTTTCTGTGCACAGACTGCTTGCCTCCCCAATTCATTTCTGGTTTGTTTGTTGGGATATGTAGCCTTTTGTATGCCATGCCTTTTCTCTCCCCCAAAGCAGGTTTAATTCCTCTTTTTTTTTTTTCACTCTCCCTGTTTGAGCCTTGACTTTAAGCTCTTTGCTGAGGTCGTCTCCTTTGGTCTGGGGGTTGAAGGGTTATATGCCATTGCTGGCTTATATGAACAACAGCATGGATGAGGAGAGAGCTGGAGAGCTCTTGACTTGGATGAACCACCCCATGTGGGTCCAAGCAATAGAAAGCTTGGCACCAAGCTCAAAACCTATTTATTCTGAGTGGAGCAAAATGCCTCAATTTTCTGGTCGTATTGCTTTTCCAGGGGACAGTTTATTGTAGCATTCAAGACAGGAGATTCTATAGCTCTCTAATCACCACATCATTACTTCGGAGAAAATGTGCTTTGACTTCCCCACCTCCACGATGTACCATTAAGCCTCTCTCGCTTATTTTTCCAGCCCAGAGCAACAAATGTGTCTGTCGAGAAGCATCGGAGTGTGAGGAAGAAGGGTTTAGTGTTTGTGTGGAAGTGAACGGCAAGGAGCAGACAGTGTCTGAGTGTGAGGCGGGCGTCCTGAGATGCAGAGGGCAGAACTTCTCCATCACCAGCACCAGGCCCTGCACTGCAGAAACCCAGTAGGCTTCCTGGAAGCCTGGTCGTCTTGCTCGGAATCCAGCAGGCAGCTGGGGCTGAGTTAAAGCAGCTGCCTATCTGGGCACTGGGACAGCTTTTCCAGCACGGAGGCACATTCTTTCTCCTTCTTCTCCAGTGTCCACTTCTTTTCTCAGCTCCCAGCCATCTGTATAAACACAACCCTTTGTCCCCCCAAACCTGAATCTAGATACTGTTTTTTTCTTCTTTTTAATACCAGTCAGAATGAAGACAATTCATGAGCCTTTGCCCAAGCTAGCTATGTGTTTTTGGAAAAATTGCTAACTTTTCGGGACCTTGACTTTTTTTTTTTTTTGGTAACAGAGGATTACACTAGAGACACTTGAATGCTTCATTCAGCAATATGATTCTATTAAGTATGATTGACCCAGCCCTTGGGCCAGAGCACACTCTACAAATTGATTAGGAAAATGGAAAGAACACAATTTCCTGATTAGAGAGATTGGTTTCCCTCAATGAAACCAAATTCAAAGCGGACCTTGAGTGACAAAAGACAGATACAATGATTTCCATCCTGAGTAGTAATCTCATGCTTCACCCTATTGAGTCAGCCACCACCTGTGAGGATCCCTATTCCTGTCAGGAGATTGAACCACTGAAATGTCAGAGCAGAATTCATCATGCTATAGCCACAGGGGCACTTTTTGCCTTTTTGTCTGAGAACAAATACAATTCAGTCTTCTCTTTGGGGTTTTTCTTTAATAAGTATCAAACACAAGACCTGAGATTTACCCCTCTTCCTTTTTTGTTATGGAAGAAGCTTCAGTTCACACCTGAGGTATTGAGTGATTGCATATTTGAGAACAGTTTTCCCTAACATGGATACACTCCCAGATTTTTCAGGGAGTATAGAGGTAGATTAGTTTGAAGCATTGACCTTCTATTTATCCCTTATTCTTCTTTTCATCAAAACAAAAATGTGGCTGTGGGAGGTGAAATGAGTGGGCCTAAATGAAATTTAAAGTATGTTTTTATATACAACCATTATCTCTGTATTGTTCTCGTACTGATAAATACATTTCAACAAAACTTCAGTTAAGATGACAAGGATTATAAAACTCATTAAAGATACTATTCTCGAGAATTGTTTCATCTGTATTATGTTTAATTTTAGACAAGATTTCTATGAGGAATGGTTAATGTGTTCTTGCCTGAAGTTTTATGATCCAGATCTAGCTTTTTATACCGAAGTGTGCCTTTAGGGAAGATGCAGAAATAATATGTGGAGATTACGAGGAGGCAGGTTTCAGCTGATTGAAAATAATAACATTCAGACATTTCAACTGCACTTGTTAGAGGTTATTACAGAGTTAATTTCTACCCTGGGAGGGGAATAGATTTGAAAATCCCAGGCTTGAATGCAGACCCTGAGACAAAGGGTCAAATAAGTAATTCGTTTAGGAAGAAGTACGTCAGTATCCTTCCAATAATTTCTCCTCTTAACTTAAGCTAGCATGGAGTTAAATTCCTACTGCTTATGTATCCCCACTCCCCCTTCCTAGTACAGAGGATGTGGTCAGCATTATCAAATGCTATGAGAGACTGAGGTCTGAAAAAAAGAAACTAGTAGGTGTAACAACTAAGGTTTGAGAAAGAAGTTTCATCAGAGTTATTGAAGGAGAAGTAAAGGATTAATGAATTGTTGGAGAAGGAGGGGAGCAGTGAATGTGATTGTAGAGAGATGCTGTCTTCAAATACTAAATTATTTGCCTCTTTTTCTTTTCTGAACATCTCTGTGCTGATCATTCTTCTAGTCAAACAGAGGCATTCACAGTTGCCTATGGAGGATTAGGATTGTTGCAGCAGGTCTGTGAGGAGAAAGTCACTTTCAATATTGAGTCTTAAAAAATGTTTTGAAACTAGTTCTCGAACACCTATGGAGAGGCTTTGAAGAAAGCTAGGGGAACTATTTATGCCATGAAAATAAACTGAAAGAGGATAGAGGGAGTAGGGAGTGTGAGAATTACTCCCTGCCTGCCCTTCCCTCTGCCTCAAATCAGGAGTGGGTCACCTGGGCTAGGATGGGATATAGCCTTGCAGAAGGCAGAAAGTACCAAGATCGAAGTCCTCTGGAGCTTGGAGGGAATAGAGGGAGAGGAGGAAATTGGCTGGTGCATTAACCATTGCTAGCTTCATGGAGCTACATGGGAGCCAAGGTACATCCTACAGACCACCATGGCATTTCCATGGCCACTGGAAGTTACCTGGGCAGAGAAGTTGCCTTAGAACATCTCCTAATAACATTAAGAAGCGCCTTCCTGTGACATCTCACACATTTCTTAATAAATAATCAATAGAAGTGCTGTTTATCAATGTCCTGTGATTTAATGAGCCCCATCCAAACTGTTCTGCATATAACCTCCCTCCCCACCAGTCCAGGACACTTGTAATTGCCTTAAAACAGAGGGAGAGTTCTAGATATTCAGGTGAGATATGGCAGGGGTGTGGAGTGGCAAGCAGGAAATCTGATAAAGAGTCCCCCCTAAAACTTTGGGTTACCTAACAGCAATTAGCCAGGTAACTGGCTGATTTGACTGAGGACTCCTCTCTCAGCTGGGCAGATCATGTTAATCTCAACTTCACATGAGACTTGTGAATCCATTCAGTTGTTGAGTAGCTGCTCAGAGCTGTAGGTGCTGAGCAGCTGGTTTACCCAGCATTCCCTAAAACAGCTTATTATCCGCCTACACATGAATCATTAGTCACTTTTTCCTTAGGTTAAGTATGTGTATTAATCAATATTTTTGAGCCCCACATGTCCATTTTATGCTGCTATAATAGAATAAGATTGACTGGGTAATTTATAATGAGCAAAAATTTATTTGGCTCAGGTTCTGGAGGCTGGGAAGTCCACAAGCCTGGTGCTGGCATCTGGCAAGGGCCCTCATGCTGCATTGTCCCATGGTGGAAGCTGGAAAGTGGGAGGGCAAGAGAGAGCAAGAGCAAGAGAGCAAGACAGAGCCAAATGCGCTTTTATAACAAACCCACCCTCTCAATAACTAACCTAGTGCTGCAATAATAGCATAATCCATTCATGAGAGCAGAGCCCTTACGGCCTAATTATCTCTTATTAGGCCTCATCTCTCAACATTGTTGCATTTAGGATTAAGTTCCCAACACATGAGCTTTGGGAGACACATTCAAACCATAGTACTATGGTTTATCATTTGTCCTATAGTTTCTTTCTATTCTCATCCAGATTTCTTATAACCACACACACATA